AAGCAAATATGACTATAAACAAAGATCCACAAGCACTAGAGTTAAGTACGTTCCCAAACCAATAAAGATTTAAAGATTGTGTTATCTTCGAATACAATGGGGCAGCAGCAAAAAGTACAGAGAAGAGATCATTGATAAACTGGAATATTAGAAATGGGTGAATATTCAAAAACTCGGCCAACTTCTTAAAAAATAGTCACAATACATGTAATACGAACACACACACACTTTTTCAATATTTCAACATATATAACTGTCAATTTATAACCAATCATCACATTATGCAACTGACAGGAAGCAAAAATTGAATTACAACAATTAGAGCGATACAACTTCTAAATGTATATTCACCTTTGTTGGAAGTAAATCATAGTTTCTGTATGAGCATTTCTTTCCGGTCTCCTCAAGCTTTTTCTTCATAAGGATGCTAAAATCATTAGCACCACAACAAAAGTCCACAATCTGACCAGAAGTAACCATGCCAATCAGGTATTCAACATCAAGTATCAGAAATATATTAACAATGTCCAGAATGGTAATCAAACAGACAGAAAATAATAATTTGACCAGGAAAATCAGATACTTTGTTGTACATAAATGCCAGATAAAGAAAATTCAAGTAGACAAGTGTGAAATCTAAAGGGAAAAACTGAAGAAATATAAAAGCAAAGATTTAAAGCAAATTGAGGACAAAAGTCAGAGCAACAGAGAACTGCCAAAAGCCGACAATATTAAGTTCCCTCAAATCATTTTACAGCAAATATTCCAAGAAGAAACTAGAAACTGAAGATTTGATAGAATGACAATTCTGTTATTATTGTCACTCAGTTTCAGGTGAATATAAACGAGTTTAATGACAAAATTCATGCAAATGGAGGTAAAGGACCAAATATGTGCACAAGAATAGTAGTACTTACTGTATCACCATTCTGAACATACCAATGTAGTTTATCAATAATCTGCAAATGTAAAAAATCATTCTTTAAGCAATGCTAGATGGATGCAATTATGAATATTAATATGGATACATAGGTAACATGCAAACTAAATATAATTGGTATGAATACTATGTATGTGATGGCCAAAAAAGAAATTCATTTGAACACAATAAAAAGTATGGTCATATCTGAAGCATATTCCTCCAGTACCCTTTTGCTTTTATCACATGCCCGGTTTAATCAAACCCAAAAAACCTACATACCAAGGGATATAATTATACAGGAAAAAACTGAACTGAACAGAGGCAGACAGACACAAAACTAAAGTACTCAACAGGGTGAAGAATGCAAACTGCAGAGGTGAGGCTTGGCCAGAAAACCACCAAAGAGCAGTTGATGTGTGTCAAATTGAAACAACAGACGAGAGAGACGGAGCAGAGGCCATATTATTATGAAATTCTTATTATTCAAAATAACGTAACAGACAATCTTATTATGACACATAATACGCAGTGGAAATCGAAAGAAGAAAGAGAAAAAAAACAAAGGGAAAAATAACAGATAAAAGAAGAAAGAAGGCAAAGAAATAAAATAAAATAAAAAGGTAAGAAAAAAAAAACAGTGAAAATTGAAAACGAAGAGGAAGAGAAGAAAGAAGAGAGAGAAAAAAAAGTAAGAAGAAGAAAACAAAATAGTGGAAATCGAAAACAAAGAAGAAAAAGAGAAGAAAGAAAGAATATACATTTTATTAAATGTATTTTAATTTTTTTAAAATTATAATTTTATTAATGTATTTTTTATTTTTAAAAATTATAATTTTATTGCAAAAATGTCATTTGACTATGTCGGACACGATCAAATTCACGAATTGGATTGGTCAAATTCGTGTATCGGATTGGTCAACGTGTCGGAAATGTTGACAACATGTCGGATACGTGTCGACGACACCGACTCTTCAGGTTTTTTAAACTGTCGGTGCTTTATAGCCCAACAACTTAAGTTTTTGAGTTAAATTGGTATTTTGATTATTTAAGCAGCAATAATTAAAATTCTCAGAAGTAATCCGAAAATAGGTATGTACCTTGCACATAAATATCTGTTTCAGAACATCAGGGTCACAAACAGCTTCTACATCCTGAATGCTGCACTCACTCTCTAGCTTCCTTAGAGCTGTTTGAGCAGCCTGTATATACACACGACAGAACACATAATCGTACAAGAAAATCCACAAAGAGACACACATTAATAAAAATAGGTACATACATCGACTGATCCTTCCAGCTTCCCCTTTGTAATTGTCTCCTCCAGAACATTTCTGAATGCGTGAGTATGAGTAAAAGCAAGCTTGCGCTTTACACTCTCCAACGTAACTGATGATCTAGCTTCTTTAAACAAGGCCAACAAACTACATGGGAGGAAATAATGTCAGCATTCAAGTTTCAGACAAGAATCAAAGGAATTACATCATAATGCCAACCATTAAAGAAATACTCTGAAAGAACAAAAAGAATCAATAGCAAGAAAATAAGCAACTCAGAAGTCAGATTAGACACCTCTTCTCTGAATCAGCATCTGATAAAGGCAGTGAACAACTCAACTTTCTAATAGGCTCAACCAACGGGGTCTCATTATCAACCTGATTGACAGGCTTGATTCGCTCATAACCCTTATTCATTTCATTTGACTTTGGTTTTTTCTTCTTACTAAGTTCCCCAGATGACAGTCTTCCAATCAAATTAGGTCCCTTATCTTTGCCAACATTGTTCTTCTTCAATATAACTCTCCCTTTGTCCGCAGGTTTTGTCCTCTCATCAGCAGCATTAATTTCTGGATAAGTGCCTTTAACATTGGGGAATTTTAAATGATCTCTTTTGGGAGTCCCAAGTTCATCATCAATCTCATGATTTCTGTTCCAAGTAACAGTAAAAAAACTTAAGTAGCGGTCTAAAAGGGCTAATTGAAAAAACAAAAACACCCATATAACACTTACAAACAATATATAAGAATGCGATTGTTTGATAGAAGACCTTCCCAAGCCCTTGGTAAATTATCTTCATCATCAAAAGAGATCTGTCTGATAAAAGCAACTTGAGAGTCAGTTGTTTGGACAATATCAATTAAAATATTAAAATGAAGACAAGAAACACAGAAAAGGAGAGAAATAACCTTGGCAAACATTTGCGATGATAGGACTTTGGACAACGCCTACAAACAGCCAGTTGCAACTCAGGTTCCATCTTATTTTCCAATTCTTTACAGACACAACAATAATGAACGGGACAAATAAAAGGATGACCATCCGCGATATTTTTCTCAAGTTCCTCTCCAACATGCTTAAACTTAACTACCATGGGAAGTAACTTCGCAACACAACGTGGATGATAAAAACGGCCACAGGTTGCAGAAGAACATTTAGTGACCTGAAAGAGGAATTCCCAAAATAACTTAGTTCCGTACAATAGAAGGAGGCTCCTGAAAAAAGCCTCTTGTTTCCAAAAGCCACTATCTTAACAAATCAATCGAAATCAAGACCAGATATTACAGACTTTGAAGCAGGAGAACTAAGTCTTCAAATCAATATTTCACAGGAATGCATGATAGGAGAACAAGGATACATAAACAACTTAACTTGGCATGTGGAAGGTAAGCTTGGAAGCACAGCCAATATTACAAGGTTCACCAAAACCTCAATGTTTTCCTAACTTATCAAGGTTGTACGGAAAATAAGTAAAAGAAACTGTTGAGCAAAAATTTAATTTATCTTTTATAAACTAGGCGTTTTCCATTTAAACAGGTTGCCTCGTACTTTTGGATAGGGCTTAAATCATCATAATTCAAAGGAATCAAACAATGTACTGCAAAGTCAAACACCAACATCATGGCAACTCAACCCTGATAAAGGCAGCATGAACTCTTGAAATACAGATTTAAAGCATCCATGAAGAAGGTTATTTTTGTGGATGTCAATATTTGTCGAAGAGAAAAATACAAAAAGCAAGTGAGAGATTCAAAGCGCATGTTGTGGAAAATATATGGGAATTGCCCTTCCCCTTCTCACATTTCAGGTCATAAGGTCTACAACATACAAGGTATTTCCCCCCAAAATTTGTTCAATAGGCAAGCTTGGGCTGGCTACAGAATGTGTGTAGCAAAAAAAATAAAAAAATCAGCTCCAATCATTTTCAGGGATTCTGTGCAAATCGTTTGACATCCAGCTCATCTGAACTGGAAGGCTTATAAAGAAAATAAAAAATTGCATCTATAATATAAAATTAAATAAAAAATAGTATAAATACAGAAACATGTCTTTCAAATGAGGTATAGCTACTTCGTCCAAAACTTTTAAGATCTCTGGTTAGCCATTCCAGCCAGGAAACAACTCATTTACTGAATGATCCATGACTCAATAAACCCCAAAGAAACCAAAATATAAAGCAATAGAGATAATGAATTGCACAAGAGATCTTCAGTGGCCATTAGGACCTTCATTGATGTTTGCGTTTACAACAAGGTGCCACCACATACATCACCAAAACTTTCATTAAAAGTAGAAGCAAAGCCGAATATGCTAAAAGCTCTTTCTCCTCGATTAAAATTGTAACAAAGAATAATTTGTATTAAAAAGACTAACAAGGATTAGGTGGCACATCATCCAGCTATGGAAAAATATATAAATGAACTAATCAACAAGTAAAGAGCAAGCGATTTTATTTGCCATAGCCATACCTCAGCACCCTTAACTTTATCAGAAGATCCCAGCTTGCCACATGCAAAACATTGGTGCTGATTATATTTACAATTCTTACAATAAAAGCTCTGGATCAACTGCAAATTTTTGCCACAAGAAAATAAATTTCTACATGATTATATGAAGTGGAAAAGGACAGCTAAAATACATATAAAAAGAAAATAACATTATCATACATTGACTTCCTTTCGGGTAAAACCAAGAGAATCACAATTAGAGTCTCTACCATCCTCCTCAGTAGCATGAAATGACCTCATGCACGCTCCATCGCAACTGCATTATCATTCAATAAGTTAAAATTATGAATATAAACAAATACTATTCTACAACAAGGAAGCAAATGAGAAAATCATATAATTCATTATAAGAAATTTGTTAGAATTTATTTAGAATAAGTTTAGACTCATTTAGAATTTCTTTAGAATATATTATATACTCAATTAGTCATCCAAAATAAATAAATAAATAAAACCACTCCCCATCAAACCTCAACTTGTTAGGGTAGGAGTAAGGGAATTCCCACAAGAATGATAAAGGAAAAGGCATTCATACTGATGAATAAGGTATAGGAGATGATGATAGTAAGACTGAAGAGGAAGAAGATGAAGGATTAATTATGTTAGATGATGACTCAACTCATCGTTATAGTAATAATGCTAGACTTGATGACTGATAAGTAGGAGGATAACTACTTTTAGACTAGGTTACATATGCAGTTATGTATTATGATTTTTTTATTTATGAGCTTAGATATGTGTTGATGACAAGAATCAACTATATGACCTTATGACTAATGATTTTTTCTTTTATTCACACATTTAGCACCCCACACACACACGTGCGTGCGCGAGCGTGTGTGTGCGCGCGTCTTTAAATCTTACACACACAATCACGATTTGATAACCTTGGTCATATGGTACTAGTACTTGACTTAAAGATTAGTATAAATAGAACCATTTTAATAGCATTTCATATATCATTATTACACACCATGTGAATATAATATATTACTATTCAGAGTTACTATTCCTATAATTCTTAACAAAATTATCTATAGTCACAGATACACAAGACAGAAATAAAACATTATAATAAATTAACCCATATGAAAAAGAATTCATACCACAAAAGTTTACCACCATTGTCACAAAGCGCACAAACAGAATCCAACCAATCCTCCTCTGCTTCTGACTCTTCACTAGGTTCATCTATCATATCATTGTCATTATCATCAACTATACATTGAGGTTGAGCCAAATCTTTAACTTCCTGAAATCAAGCATTAAAATCTTAAGAAAACATTAAAAACAATAAATATGACTTGAATAAAAAAGAAAAAAAAGGAACAAAAATATCAGAGAAGATCATCTTCATGGAAGGAAAAATAAATATTTAACAAACCTCATTCGAAAGTTTCTGAATCCCCAACTTCTTCTCCAAAACCAAGAGCAAAAGCTGTTGAAATCATCATGTAATTGTCATTAAAATGAAGCACATATGATGGGAACAACTACAATCAAGCCTTGTGACACCAAGCCTTTTATTGAAAGGAAAGTAGCATTCAAATTTTGTTAGTTGGTATAAGCACAATTTTTAGCAAAAGAACCAAGTAAAAGGATTTTCAAGCCCTTAATAATAATAAATAATATAGAGTAAAAAATAATTAAACAATTTTGTTATGAGAGGGCACATATTTTACAGGAGAAAAAAAGAGAGTTGCAAAACAAGGAGAAAATTAAGAGAAACAGAGACATGAATCACCCAACACCCCGTTGTTAGAATTATTATTTTATGGGCAATATTAATTAATAAGTTTTGTCTTTTAAAATTAATCGGGTTAATGGATATTCCAATATTATTATTATAACTAGCCCATTGTGATCACATTGAATTGGGCTTCTGGCATCTGTTGTTATTGGGCCTAGTTGGGCAGCAGTGTAGGCTTTAGTGTGACCCTGGTTTTCCATGATGGGTGGACCCAGTGGACACAGACTCTTTTCTGGGTTATTGGCTAGGTCCCCTCTCTAGCCTATTTATATTGGAGCTAAGCTCCATTAGCCATCATGCTCCCATCTGCTGAAGGCTGCCAATTTCTGAATAGGCAATAGAGAGGAAGACTCTAGCATCTTGTTCCCATATTTCCAACCGTTCTTCTCCGACTTTGTGATGGCCCAACAAGGTACACATAATTACAACTCTGATTTATTAACATTTGGTATTTTATAATCATTGCATGATTCATAATTTGAGATTTAACATTTGGTATCAGAGCCACATGTATATGATTATAGAATCCAATATAACTTTATTTGTTCGGTTGAGAATTCACGTGTAGCGTTATCTTTATTTATCATTGTTTTCTGTGCAATTCTATCTTGCATTTTTTTTATGATTTCTAGCTAGCGTACATAGATGTTTTGAATGTACAGTATTATATGTTTTGAATGTTTACGTGTTGAGGACAATACTAGTCTGTATTATTTTTTTTTTTCAATAATTGTAAGGTGAATCATGAACGGGAAGATCATTAGAATTTTTTTTACTTTTGTTCAACAATTCGCCATTGTTAGCAGAGAAGACTGATTCGTTGAATGGGTTTCTGAATTTCTAAAACCCCACCCCACAATGACCTTGACAACTTTATTAGGTCCCACGTAATTTTTTATTTTTTTTTTACCGTTTTATCAAGATATATCCCACGTAAGATTTATTATTCAAGTAACATATAACAACTATTCAAGTGAGATATATCGTGGGCATGATTTTCTGTGTACTTGTTTTTCGGTTCCGATTTTAAAGGGAGCTTTAAATATTTTACTTGTTATCAATTATAAACAAAAGAAATTTTTTTTACCGTTTGCGATAAACCAGTAACAACTCGATATATATTGTTATTATATTCTAGGATAAAGTTGGATATATATATATTGTTATTCTTTTTACCTTGTTGACTGGATATATCGTTTATATATATATATATATATATATATATATATATATATATATATAAATATATATATATTTTCAAAACAACACGTAACTATATATATATATATATCGTTGGCGATAATCTATATTTGCAAAACAACACGTAAATATTCTCCAGTATTTATTCAAAATCATTGTCAGTTTTATGACTCATCGAGTTTTATAAGATATTAGATAATTATCCTGGTTGCACAGCATGTATAATAACTCATTGAATTTTGAATATTTATTCAAAATAAAAGTCTTATCCTTGTTTCCATTAAATCTGAAGTCTTATCCTTGTGGATGCATTATCAGTTTGTGCTTTTTATTATTTCGCTGTACATGCTGCCTTTATTCGAATTTTATATATATTTCAGAATAGCTTAATACACCCCGTAATGATATAACTTAAATATTATTTTGATACACAATTATAATAATTGTGATTGACAATGAGTGAATTCTTTTGGTTGACAAATGCAATATTTTTTTTTCAAGAAACACATGTTGGAAAAGTGTTTCGTGTTGTTTGAGCATGTTTGATTCATGAGTTATTATTGTTGTTTAATAATTATTATATGTTAATTACCTTCCCAAAGGGGGTTTTTAATATATAATAATAAATTACATGAAGATAAATGTTATTGATGGGAATATGTAATTGAAAATTATTTATCTGCCCAAAGGGGGTAAATTTTTTGAAAATTACATATGACGATTTTTGGAATTAAGGAGATATATAATTTATAAAATTTATCTGCCCAAAGGGGATAAGTTTTAGACAATTATGTATAATTCTCTCCATTGTTAAATCTTCATGTGATGAAAAATAATTATGTATTATATACTCTGCCCAAAGGGGAGTCTATGATATTTAATTATTTTTGTTATTGCTCATGACTAATTTATTGCATTATATGTGTCAATCAGTTAACTTCGCTCTTAACAATAATAATGCCACTGTCGAAATGCTGACTGGATCGAATTACAAGAAGTGGAAACAAGACATTGAATTTGCGCTGGGAATTGTTGATTTAGACTTTGCCTTACGTCAAAATGAACCGCGTAGACCCACTGATGAGAGCACTGACAGTCAGAGAGCCCATTATGCGAGATGGGAGAAATCCAATCGTTTGAGCCTTATTGCTATGAAGAGGTCGATTGCTGAGCATCTGCTCAGTGGTTTGCCTGAAAATTTGACTGCTAAAGCCTTTCTTGATGCTGTTGGTGAGAGATTTAAAATTTCAAACAAAGCTGAGGCTGGGTATCTGGTGAATGAACTGACTAATATGAAATATAACGCTTCAATCGGGATACGAGAATTTATTCTGAGGATGGTCCACATTCAAACCAAGTTGAAGGGCCATAATATCGTTTTTCAGGATGATTTTATTGTGCATCATGTTCTGAATGTTTTGCCTGCTGATTTTAGCCAGATTAAAACTGCTTATACTGCGCAGAATGAAACTTGGGGTGTTAACGATCTCATTGGGAAATGTGTTGCTGAAGAAGACAAGTTAAAGAAAGAAAAGGATGAGTCTGCTTTTGCTCTTTTATCCATCAAGGATAAAACAAAATTCTTCAACAAGAATAAAGGAAAGTTTAAAAGGCACAATTCTCTTGCTCCTAAGCAATCTCAGAATTTCAAAAGGAAGGGCAATGATGATAAATATGGAGGAGCGGTTATAAAATGTTTTCATTGCAAGGTAAAGGGTCACAAGAGGACCAATTGCTACAAGTTTAAGGCTTGGTTAGCTAAGAAACAAAAGGGCCAAGGTGAGTTATTGGTATGTTTTGAATCAAATATAATTGATGTCCCTTTAAACTCTTGGTGGATGGATTCTGGTGCTTCTGTCCATGTAACATCTACTTTGCAGGGTCTAACAAACCTGAGGAAACCAAGTCTGAGGGAGTCAAAGCTTAAAGTTGGAAATGATGTGGGCGTAGACGTGCAGCTTGTTGGCACTATTTTTCTGCAACTAGATTCTGGCTATAGACTAGTTTTAAATAATGTTTTCTATGTTCCAGACTTTAGAAGGAACTTAGTTTCCCTTTCATCCTTGGACAATGTTGGATATTGTTTTCATTTTGCTAATAAAAAAGTGGATGTGTTTTTTGATTCTAAGATTATTGGAAATTGTGTTATGGATGATGGTTTATATAAATTGTCTTTGTCTTCTGATGACCCATATTGCTCGTTGAATGTTGAATCTGGTGTGAGTAAAAGGTGTTTAATCAAAGAAAAATCTTCTTTGCTTTGGCATAAGCGTCTAGGGCATATCTCTAAAGAAAGGGTTAATAGACTCATCACATCTGAAATCCTTCCTCCTCTTGAATTAGACGATGTTGAGATTTGTGTTGATTGCGTGAGAGGAAAATTAACTAAAACTAAGAAAAAAGGTGCTACTCGTAGTCAAGAATTACTGGAGATTATTCACACAGATATTAGTGGGCCTTATGCCACCACTTTGTATGGCCAGAAATTTTTCATCACCTTCATTGATGATTTCTCTCGCTATGGTTATGTGTTTTTAATTAAGGAGAAGACTGAGGCTCTTGATGTGTTTAAAGTATTCCGCACTGAAGTTGAAAAACAATTGGGAAAAGTCATCAAAGTTGTTAGATCTGATCGTGGTGGTGAGTACTATGGGAGATATACTGAAACTGGGCAGCACATGGGGCCTTTTGCTAAATACTTGCAAGATTGTGGTATTATCGCTCAATATACGATGCCTGGTAGTCCTGAACAGAATGGTGTATCTGAAAGACGAAATCGTACCCTTATTGAGATGAAAAGAAGTATGATGAGCAGATCTAATTTACCTGAGTTTTTATGGGGTGAAGCAATTAAAACAGCGGCGTATATTCTGAATCGTGTGCCTAGTAAGTCTGTCCCAAAGACACCTTTTGAGTTATGGACTGGTAGAAAGCCCAGCTTAAATCATCTTCGAGTTTGGGGTTGTCCATCAGAAGTGAAGATTTATGATCCTTTTCAAAAGAAGTCGGAACCAAGAACCACCAGATGTTACTTTATTGGATACCCTAATCACTCTAAAGGGTATAAATTTTATTGTCCTTCCCGTGGCACCAGAATTGTTGAATCACAAGTTGCAAAATTTCTAGAGTTTGATGTTGCTGAAATGACTTCTTCTCACTCTTATGAAAGTGGAGAATCATCTGAAACTATATTTATACCTGTGCTTTCTTCAAATGATGCTTTGACTTGGGAAACTCAGAGAATGGCAGCTCCTGTTGTTAATGAACCAGCTCCCTCTGTAGAACTTGAAACTACTCAGTTACCTGAAGAGGTTCCAATTGTACCATTGAGAAGGTCGCAAAGAGAAAGAAGACCTACTATCACTAATGATTTCATAGTCTATCTTGGTGAAAATGATTCTATGATTGAGGAGATATTTGATCATGTGACCTATGAAGAGGCTCTTGAAAGTGACCAAGCAGATGAATGGTTGAAAGCTATGAAAGATGAGATGAATTCCTTTTCTGCAAATCAGGTATGGGAACTTGTTGATTTACCTGACGGGCACAGATCTATTGGCTGTAAATGAGTATTCAAAACAAAGAAAGATAATAAGGGTCAGATAGAAAGATTCAAGGCAAGATTAGTTGCAAAAGGCTACACACAGAGAGAGGGCATTGACTTCACTGAAACTTTTTCTCCGGTATCTACTAAAGATTCCTTCAGGATAATCATGGCATTAGTGGCTCATTTTGATCTAGAGCTTCATCAAATGGATGTGAAAACAACTTTTCTTAATGGAATCCTTGAAGAGGAAGTATATATGTTGCAGCCCGAAGGTTTTAAAGAAGCTGGCAAGGAAGGCATGGTGTGTAAACTTCAGCGGTCCATCTATGGTCTTAAACAAGCGTCACGTCAGTGGTACTTGAAATTTGACAAGGTTGTAAGATCACACGGTTTTGAGGATAATAAATTTGACCAATGCATCTACATGAAAGTAAGTGGGAGTAGATATATCTTCTTAGTACTTTATGTAGATGACATTTTGCTTGCTAATAATAATGTTGATTTATTGAATGAGACGAAAGCTATTCTCTCCAGAAATTTTGAGATGAAAGACCTTGGTGATGCTTCTTTTGTTATGGGCATTGAGATTCACCGTGACAGATCTAAAAAAGTTCTGGGGTTATCACAAAAAAGCTATATTGATCGTGTGCTAAAGAGATTTAATATGCAATCTTGCAGACCTGGTGATGCTCCAGTTGTAAAGGGAGACAAATTAAGTAAAGAGCAGTGTCCTAAAATGATGTTGAAAAGGAAGCGATGAAAAATATTCCCTATGATAGTGCAGTTGGAAGCCTTATGTACGCACAAGTATGCACCAGACCTGATATTGCTTTTGCTGTAAATACTCTCGGGAGATATTTGTCAAATGCAGGTCATGATCACTGGGTTGCCGCCAAGAAAGTAATGAGATATCTGCAGCGCACAAAGGATTTCATGCTTGTATATAAAAGAGTAGAAGATCTCAAGGTAATTGGTTATTCGGATGCTGATTTTACTGGTTGCTCAGATGATAGAAAATCGACTTCTGGATACATTTTTATGTTGGCTGGTGGTGCTATCTCATGGAAAAGCACAAAGCAAACTCTTATCACGAGTTCTACAATGTATGCTGAGTTTGTAGCTTGTTATGGTGCTTCTATTCAGGCAGTCTGGCTGAGAAATTTGATCTCTGATTTGCGCATAGTGAACTCTATATCCAAACCTATGGTGATCTATTGTGATAATACTGCAGCTGTGTTCTATTCCAAGAATGACAAGGTTAACAATGCATCTAAACATATGGAAATCAAATACTACACAGTGAAGGACTTGGTTAAAAAAGGTGACATTGCTATTCAAAATATCAGAACCGATTTCATGTTGGCAGATCCATTGACAAAGGGTTTGCGACCCGTATTGTTCAAGGAACATGTGAAGAATATGGGTATCTTTGACTCTTTTCATTCCCTTGATTAGTGGGAGTCATGTTTATTTTTTTCCTTGCTTTCAGTTATTTTGCTTGTAGACTGATATTTCTTGAGAATTATTGATGATCATCATGATTTTGTTATTATTATTCTATTGTCGACTGAGAAGTATAATTGTCTTTAAACATGTTGTAAAGTTTAAAGATATATAATTGTCACTGTTGAGATCTCATGTTGTACTGTGACATACTGGCTTATTTAAGCAAAGCAATTTCATGTTGTTTAGAAATTGTGGTAATGCAATTTCATGTTGTTGAGAAGTTGCATTACAGAGTGTAATTTCATGTTGCTTGGAAATTGCACTAATGTAATTTCATGTTGTTGAGAAGTTACATTGAGGACCGATAAGAATTAGTGTGTTACACTGTTGATCACATTTTGGCACTAATTCTTACTACACTACTAGGCCCTGATTCATGAAGATGTAATACTCATTGTATGTGAGTACGGAAGGTCGTATGCCATGATATTTTCGGTATATTGATCGTCATATTCCTATGATGAGGTTATGTTGGATTGAATTGTGTTGAGATGCTGGAATTGGAATATTACTTTTCGAAATTGTGGCCACGTAAAATTATTTTCTAGTTATTAACCCGATAGAGTCGTTTTCGAAATAAAATGATTTTCAAAATAATATTAAATTAATTAATATAGCCCAAGTGGGAGAATGTTAGAAATATTATTTTATGGGCAATATTAATTAATAAGTTTTGTCTTTTAAAATTAATCGGGTTAATGGATATTCCAATATTATTATTATAACTAGCCCATTGTGATCACATTGAATTGAGCTTCTGACATCTGTTGTTATTGGGCCTAGTTGGGCAGCAGTGTAGGCTTTAGTGTGACCCTGGTTTTCCATGATGGGTGGACCCAGTGGACACAGACTCTTTTCTGGGTTATTGGCTAGGTCCCCTCTCTAGCCTATTTATATTGGAGCTAAGCTCCATTAGCCATCATGCTCCCATGTGCTGAAGGCTGCCAATTTCTGAATAGGCAATAGAGAGGAAGACTCTAGCATCCTGTTCCCATATTTCCAACCGTTCTTCTCCGACTTTGTGATGGCCCAACAAGGTACACATAATTACAACTCTGATTTATTAACGTTTGGTATTTTATAATCATTGCATGATTCATAATTTTAGATTTAACAGGAGGATGTTTCTATCCGTTTGGTTGGACTTAAGTGATCATTTTAATTAGTTGCTGGGTTATTCTTAATGCGGCCGAATATGTAGTTTCTATGTTAATAAGTAGAGAACTATAATCGAGTGTTTGTTTTCTATATTTTGGCTATTTGTTAATTCTGTATTCTATTCTGCTTTGGAGAAAGTATAGCAACCCCATATTAGATTACCAAAAATTGTGAAAAAAGGCTGCACGGATCAAATTAACAACTAACAATTTTACTCACTAATAAACTAAGGGCTTTGTATTTCTTCAGATTAGCAACTTTTCCTGCAAAGAGAAGCAAATTGGGTCCCATCAGATTTTTGAAAAAGAAAAGAAAAGTTAAGGACGTTTTATTAACTGAAAGTGATAGGAGATGAGCAACTTGCTCCGACAGGAAATTTAATTTTGCCATAACCTAATAATATAACTGTTACGGATTTGTCTCTTGAGTCTTGACCTTACTCATCCTAATGTAAGACAGAATAATAATTCAACTTTTACGTAATATTAAATGCATAACGTCCAATTCTCTAAAATTCAAAATCACCACCAATCACGCCATGACATTAGTATCGTTCAACAATATAAGATTCATCATATACATCACCATCTATATAAAACACCATAAATGCTTGTAAAAATGGTTGAAATCTAAAGCACCGGATTATACATAACATGAACTCACTGATTGCACCATATATATAGTGCTTTATAATTTTCATGTTACATAAGAAGAGAATTCTTATGTCACAAAGATAAAAAGTATGTGAGACCCATATATTAAAAAAAATCTTGTGTGAAATTCATATCGACACGAAAATCGAAGGGTGTGTAAGAAAATTTTAATTCTCATGTTACATAAGAATTATAAAACCCACACACACACACACATATATATATAGGGGTTTGCATTTGTCATTTAACATGACACAACAAACTTTTCTACACACAAAACATTTTGTGGGGCCCACACTTTTTGAAGAAAAAAGAAAAAGAAAATTATGGCACGCAAAACGAATCTCTATAACATTACACAATCACTTTTCCTACAACATAACTCTTATAAAACCCATATATATAGGTAAAATTATTTCTGCAGCCGCTTTACGTATAACAACGACAGGTGTATGATTATGATTCTCCACATTTAATGCTTTCATCATTTGTATAGTTATGATTCCCCACATTTAATGCTTTCAAGTATATATGTGGCAAGTATTTGATTGCTGCACGTACAACAGCTGCAGAAATGTAAATCTCATATATATATGAGATATGATCCTTTGATACCAGTGTCAAATTTGAAATTTGACACCTCATCTGAGAACCATTAGATAAAAAAAGATCAACTACTCTGATTTGTAAGCATGTGACACAATTGATCTTTTTGATCTAACAACTCTCAGATGAGGTGTCAAACTTCAAATTTGACACTGGTTCAAAGGATCCTATATATATATATATATATATATATATATATATGGGTTAGGATCATTTTACACCAGTGTAAGTTACACTCTTAATCTTGTCCACTGATCTCATTTATATCTAAGGGCTCAATTTTTTTAGTAATGTGAGCCATTTGATACAAGTGGATCAATGGTCAAGATTGAGTGTAAGACTTCTAACTCTTACACCAGTGTAAGAATATCTTGTCCCTATATATATATATATATATATATATATATATATATATATATATATATATATATATATTACATGTAGTATCTTTTGACAATGTGTTAAATTTTGAAATTTAACACTAAATCTTAATCATTGATTTCTGCTAATCAACGATTATTATTTATTGGAAATTAATATTAATTAATAAGTTTGATTCCGAATAAATGATAACCGTTGATTGGCGGACATCAACGGTTATCATTTATTAGAAATTAATGATTAATTAATAAATTTGATTAGCGAAAATAATAACCGTTGATAATTTGATTTGTGGAAATGATAACCGTTGATTGACAAAAATTAACGGTTAGAATTGGTATGAAGTTTCAAAGTTTGACGCTTATCATTTCTTGGAAATTAATAATAAATTAATAAGTTTGATTATCAATAAATGATAACCGTTAATTGACGGAAATCAATAATTAGGATTTGATGTCAAATTTTAAAGTTTGACACTGGTGTCAAAGGATCCTGATCCTATATGTATGGGCAGGAACATGTAGGGGCATGATCTTTTGACATCAGTGTCAAACTAAGAATTTTGGTACCAAATCTTAATCGTTGATTTTCATAAATCTAACTGTTATAATTTATTAGGTCACACATATTAAATAATTATTACTTCTCAATAAATTATAATCGTCACATTGGCGACGAAAATCAACGATTAAAATTTTATGTCAAACTTTTTAATTTGATACTAATATCAAAGGAAAATATATATATATATATGTGTGTGTGTGTGAGAGAGAAAGTACTCTCTTTACATGAGATCAGTGAATCCCTTCTTTAAATATTTTCTACCTTAGGGGGCGTTTGGTACACGGCATTTGGCCGGATTCCCGGGAAACTGAATTTTTCTAAATTTTAAATTTCCGGATATTATGGTAAACTGAATGTAAAAATCATATTTTTGAAAATTGAGATTCCCGGACAAATAAAAATTTCTCCTGTACCAAACGCCCCATTAGTTTCTATTGGCGCGGCAAGAAGTACCGCTCCACCACACATTTTTGCCCTCGAAGTTAATGGTTAATTCAAGTCCCCAAACACTAATGATTTTAGGACAAAATTGAAGCGGAAAGATATGTTTATTTATTTTATTTTTTGGTTAGAAAAAAGGAGACACAAACGAAAGAATTAAATCTTCTCTTATAAATAAATGATAGTTTGTTTTCTTTTTTGGGTTTTTATAAATAAATGATAACTGATGAGTAGGGGTGCTAAATAAATCAGGAGTCTTTCAGTAGTCTTTGGCACAACTCGTGAAGGCCTAGACTTACATGTCTAAAATTGATTGTTGGAATCAGGCTTGAGCTTATATAAAAGCTCATTTAATAAAAAGGCCTCAGACTTCAATTCAAATTAAAGCTCGGCCTTAGAGCCTCTCAGGCTTGCCTGATATATTAATTTTTATTTTTTATATATTTTATAATATTCATAATAGCGATCTCTCTCCTGAACTCATTTTATCACATTTTATTGGTTAAACAGACTTTTTGAAAGATTTTGTTCTATATTATGCTTTTTGGATATACATTGAATTTATGAATCTTTGTGAAATTATTAGTGTTGTGGATCATATATTTTGTTTGAATAAATTTTTGTTGTTTTATTTTTTTAATCAGGCTAAATCAGGCTTTTATTTTTCGTAAACAAATTAGGCCACATGCCGATAATTATATTCATAACAGGTAACAAGCTATGTCAGGCTAAGACATTTAAACACAGACTTAGTCTTTTAAGACCAAAATTTGGCGCTCAGTCCGTTAACACCCAACGAGTATCTTATGAATTTGCATGGTTTTTTTTAGTTCATTTAAAATTTTACAAATTATAAATTAAAAGAAATAATATATTTAAAAATAAAAAAGTGGATATACATGATTAAATAAAAGATAATTAGAATCCGAAATATGAGAAAGGTACATTAATAAGAAATTAAGTTACTCTCATGTACGCATACTCTAATTAAATAGATAAAAATAAATTGAAATGAGCGATATATAATGTAATAAAGTAAAATGAGATACCAAATGATAGGGATAAAAGTATGCATTTTTCGATCCTCTCCTGTACTGTTTTTAGAAGGAATTTAAAGCTTTAATCACAGGACCTGCCCTGAATCGA